TTCTGTCAGAGGTAAGTTTCATTCCTGAATTTATTTCATAACTTCCTCAAGAAATTTCCTTAAAGGGAAAGAAAGAGAGAAAGAGAGAGGGAAGGAAGAGCGAGAGGAACGTCCAAAAAGGGCGTGACTTTTGACCATGAGCATGCTCTTTTTCTTCGAAATTTTGGAAAGTTTTTTTTTCTAAAGAACTAGTTTTTGGAAAAAAAATGTTTTTGTATAATAATAAGTGAAATTGAGTCTTTCATATTTTTATTCGTGCATGTCCATCCAAATTGGTAACCGGGGGCTGTGTTCTGAAGGAGAAGAATTAAGTAGTCATAAAAACAAAGAAAGGAGCAGCAAATCTCAGTTTATTTTCCACAATGATCAAGTTCAGCTTACCTGCTCTACGACCGTATTATGAATTCTGTTTTTACAAAAAAGAATCAGGCATTGACGTCCGCTATAAACCAATTTCAACTGCGAATTTCTTTTTGATATTGTTTTTCGAGATTTCATCGCTGAAAAGTTTTCAGCTCCCTGATGTCACTACTTTTTCGCTTCGCACTTCGCCGAGTGTCAAGCCTCAGCACTCGTTTCTATGTGGCGCAGAGTTCCGTCAGTGCATTAAGAACAAATGTGATAAAAGCTGTGTAAGTTGCTTGAAATGCTGCAGGTTGTTACCATCATGATCGTGCCAGGAATAGTGATTCTTTTGAAAACAATACCCTAAAATATTAAACTGGAAAAGAACGAGACTGCTTCAACATTTGAAATGAGAATTATTAGAAGTGGATTTTTGTAGCTTTGCTTATCACCGACTTGGTATGTGAATACCTGTAGAACACATTATTCTCAAATTAAAATTGAAAAGAACACATGTGCCCTAGATAAGAATCTATTGGCCAAGGATCAGTACCTACTAGATGTGATTTGCTTTGATTTTCATTTTTCAGAGAGATTCCTGTACGCAAATTCGGCATTGATGTTTCGGGAATGAATTCCAGACAACGCAAATCAGTGGGATACTGGTTGTTTCTTTGTGCAGGCATGTGCTACGGTGCTGTGGCCATCGGGGGATTGACCAGGCTCGTTAATTTGCTCATCATCTACTGAAAGTTGGTTTATTTTAACTACAGGCTAACGGAATCTGGCTTGAGTATGGTAAATTGGGACTTGTTTCGATCGATGAAGCCTCCTTTGTCTCAGAAGGAGTGGGAGGAGGAGTTTGAACGCTATAAAAACTATCCAGAATACAAATAGTAAGTATCGTTCTCATTACCTTCAATTTCTGTAGGACTTGTCATTTTTAGTAAGTGCTCTTCGGAGGAAATGACATTGTCTCAGTTTAAGTTTATTTGGCATATGGAATATGGTCATCGTATGTGGGGTCGTCTCACTGGCGTGGTAAGTTGTGCGTCTTCGTAAGTATCTGTCGTCAATCCTCCATATTTGAAAAATTGTAAAGATCTTCCTTCTTCCTTGCATCTATTTCTGGGCTCGTGGATATTTCCCTGCTACGATGAAGAGGCGTATGGTTATTGCTGCTGCTTTGATGTTGGCTCAGGTTGGAATCTGTTCTCTTGTGATTAAGTTGGTGACACTTACTTGATGTAGTTGTAAGCTTTTTTGCAGTATTGCATGTCCCACTGACTCAATTAGTTGTAGAAAAAGGAGATTTAAGAAAGGTAACCCTGCTTTAGGGTGGTATCGGCTGGTGGATGGTAAAGTCAGGTCTTGATCCCTCTCATAATTCTGAAGCAAGCGTTCCTCGGGTCTCTCAATATCGGCTTGCCACTCATCTCACCATTGCATTCTTACTTTATTCTTTATTCTTTTACAATGGTATAAGCCACTTTATTTATCCACAAGCACAGGTAAGTAATACTCTTTTCACCTTTTATTGTAGAAATATGTTTTTTTGCGATTATTCAGCTGGCAAAACTTCCAAACTTTCGGCTACTTCGTGGGTTGTCGCACAGCTCCAAAGCATTGGTGTTTTTTACCGCATTTATGGGTGAGTCTTACTAGTTTTTTATTGGCCTCTCAATATTATATACATTCAGGAGCGTTTGTTGCTGGGCTGGACGCTGGGTTAGTTTATAATTCTTGGCCGAAGTTTGCTGACAAATGGATCCCAGAAAACATGCTTTCACGCTCACCAAAATGGAGGAACTTCTTTGAGAATGATGTTACCACACAATTTATTCATCGCAATTTGGCACGTTTTCATTCTCTTTTTTTTCGGAGCCGTTGAGCGGTTAATAGTTTCAGGCTTACCTGACGCTGTTGACAATCACTGCTACCTGGGTGGTCGGATGCCGCGCCGGGCTGCCTCGACGAGCTAGATTTGTTTTACATTCGACTATGGCTATGGGGTACATCCAGGCGGCCCTGGGCATTTATGCACTGGTGAGTTATAAGAGTCACACTATTAGACTTATAAGCTAAGTTCAAAAATGGGAACTTCCATCTTTGTAGTATGTGGAAAAAGATTGACGATCCTTTTCTTTATAGCTCTACTATGTCCCAGTGTGGTTGGGTTCACTTCATCAATGTGGTTCAATGGCTCTTTTGTCGTTTACCCTTTGGTTAACAAACGAGCTCCGCCGCGTTCCAAAGTGAAGAAATATCAATATATTTGCTATCAAAATCCTAATGACTCTTCAGTCGTCTATTCATCTCTTTAATGTGATTTTTATGAATTTCCCAGGTTGTTATCAGCTCGATATTATTGTCAAGGGCTGATCTTTGTTACTGCTGAAATAGGGTGTTTGAATACCCGCTTGTTGATACTCTTATTATATTTTAACAAATCCATATGCATCTCTTTTTACGAGTATTTTTATTTATCATCTTCAATTTATGTTATTAGTTAGTTGCGTTAAGTAATTGTGAGAAGAAACAGTTTAACTATTCCTTTTACCACAGAAAGTGCTATTAAAAATATCTCCTTTTCAATATCAACGAGTTTTAACATAATCTGCATCATGTGTTTTCATTCTAATGTCTTCCTTTCGCCTTTGGCTAGTGTCAATCTGATGTTGCTGTAACGGTGACAACGTTACTTTTCGAGGGGGCGTTAGCGAGAGACAGAGGGAGGTCCGGATTCTTTTATCGTTGCCAGCTAAGATTTCAGCTATTCCATTCATGCAGCCACCTCACACCGTCTGGTCCTTGATTATGACTTTTGTTTTTAGCCCACACTTTTGAAAGGTATTGATGTCTAACCGAAACGAAAACGAAGTTAAACTGTTTTGTAAAGACGAACTGTCCTTTCAATATTAAAAATAAGCAGACTGCTAGAAGTATTTAGTAGCTATAGTGACTCGCTTTCCTTTTTCGTACAGTATCTCCAGTCAAATACTCGAAAACATGTCATAAATTCACAATACGAGCCGAACTGCTAGTAACAACAACAGAGTTATGCCTTCTCATTAATGTAAGGCTATCGAATAGGTTCGTGTGATCTTTTCAAACTCGTGAACTAAAACATTGGAAGTTTTGGCATGAACCATATAAACACTTGAGAAATTAATTTCTGTGCAAGACGCTCTGCTCATCCGAAGCCAACATAATTCATATTAATTTGAACTCATGGAAGTGAAAGTTTCTCACGGCTAAAAGAGCTACTCTGATAATGCCACTTTATAAACCGTAGGGCTACAGTTTTCGCTTAAACTCTAGTGGTTAGGTCATTTGATGCTATTTAATGTCATTTTACGCGGGTATGATACTCTTGGGCTAAGGGTGGGCCCGTATAAGAAGCTGTGAGGAAGGTGGAGGATGGTTCAGCATACATTGCAATTGCTGTACCGAGAGCAACGAATACGACTTTAAGGGGGCCGAGCCTTTAGTAGAGTGACTAAGGGACCTCTTAAGTCACATAAGGCAAATGAAGCCCGCCATAGATGAGATACGTAGAGCCACGGCTCTGGTCACCTTCGTTCGAGAGCGAAGAAAGAGTAGGACCTCATTTGAAGAAGTTTTAATGACCTAGGGTCATCAAAACGGAGTCCCGAAGACTGACTCTGAGAAGAAGTTCGAAGATTGAGAAATTAAAGTTCAATAGGGGAAACAAGTAGCTTTGCTTGATAACGAAATAAAAATTAAGAAATCACATAAGAAATGTGAATATCAGAGAAGTTTGGAAGGAGTTTTTTCATAAGATGAAAAGATGTAATTTTCCTAAAGAAACTGAGTTTGAAAAGGGCCAGAACGTCTGAAGATTAGTTGCTAAATTCCATTGCTCTATAAC